ACAGATCTTGTTTCATTTTTCTGCAAATGGATCTCCAGTTTTGCCAGCACCATTTATTAAACAAACATTCTCTTCCCCATTTAATGGATTTTGTGCCTTTGTCAAAGATCAGCTGACTATAGGTTGATGGATCTATATCTATCCTGCTTCTTTGTGTGGACTGTGATGCTCTGTTGTCTCCAAGGCATCATAGCGTTGTATTTAGATCTCTGTTAACTGTTTGTGAAGAGCAGTCAAGGGTGATTCTGGCTCTTCTTGGTGGTTTTTTATCATTGGCCCGTTGGTGGAGAAGTAGATAGTGGCTCTCGCTCAGTAAGTGACGTTGCAGGAGGTGTGGGTGTAGTAGTGCCCTGTGGGGACTATTGTTGTCTCCCACTCAATTAGACACAAATTAGAATTGAATAATCATCAAAAATCTAAAAGCACAGGGACCAAAAATATGCCGTGTAACCACACAGGAACAATAACCAAAAAAAGAAGAAAGGGAAAAAGAAGAAGAAAGAACAAGAAAACCTGCAATATCTGGAGATAGGGCATTAAGAGAAAAAAAGTAGAGGAGGAAAATAAAAAGGGAAAAATGGAAAAAGAAGAACAAGGAGCGGGGTTAACCACAAGAATAAAGGCAGAAAAAAACTTAAATTTAAAAAAAAAAAATTTCACCCAGGACCAGGGAAAAGAAAAAGTACTGAAAACTAGGACTTGGGAGGGGAAGATTAAGAATAATAGTAAAAAGGACAAAAATATTAATAATAATAGTTGTTTTAAAACAGAGAAATACAAGCAAACTAATCACTAGAAAAAAGAAAGCAAAAAAGAAAAAAATAAAAATAAAAAAAATCAGTGGAGGACAGGGCAGGGCACCCAGGCTCCGTCTGAGCACACAGACTGTGATGGAGTTCCTGTGGGCCCAGGAGGTAGGTGGCAGTGGGGGGGTGGACACACCTCTGTTCACTAAGTGGGTGTGGGGTATAAGAGTAACAAGAGGAATGTCGTACCTTTTCAGTCTTGCAGGTCCGCAGGGTTCTTGGGGTTGCTGGAAAGCAGAACGTGTTCTTAAGCCCCAGGAATCTGCGAGAGCACTGTCTCTTTAAATATCCAAAGTAGTCAAGCCGCTTTTTAAACCTTCAAAATGACGGCCCCCTCCGGACCGGCAAAATTCCACAGCTCAGCCCACCTTTCTCTTCACCTTCTCCTTTTGTTCCCCAGCCACCGTGCACAGTCCTCTGTGCAGTCCCTGGCTAGCAGGGTGATTTTTAGGTTAATTCTTAGGTCCTACCACCACTCGGGGATCTCCAGGCTGTCTTTGCTGTCAGGATTGCTGCCAGACCACAGCTCCGTATGTCTCCTTTTTTGGTGTTTTCGTGCAAATGCTTCTGCTAGTTGGGGTTTAGTCCACTTCTATATCCTTCCCTTTAAGGCTCAGGGGTCCAGGATTATCTTCTGTGTCTGTGTTAATTGGTTTCCCTTTTCTTTGTTGAAGAGGGTCTGTGCAGTCTTTCTGCCTAGTCCTCCATCTTGCTATAACTCTCTGCACATTGTTTTTCAAGCTTCTCTCCTACTATTCCAGAAGCTCACCTTATACTCGATGAATATAGTCTTTTGTGTTATTATTGTTGTTGTTAGGTGCCGTAGAGTCAGCACCAACTCATAGCAACCCTGTATACTACAGAATGAAACACTGCATAGTCCTGCGCCATCCTCACAATCTTTGCTATACTTGAGCCCATCATTGCAGCCACTGTGTCAGTCTGTCTTGTTAAGGGTCTTCCCCTTTTTTGCTGACTCTAATTTACCAAGCATGATATCCTTCTCCAGGGAATAGCCCCTTCTGACAGTATAACCAAAGTAGGTGAGACAAAGTCTAGCAGTTCTCACTTCCAGGGAGCATTCCAGTTGCACTTCTTCCAGGACAGATTTGTTCATTCTACTGGCAGTCCATGATGTATTCGGTATTCTTTGCCAATACCATAATTCAAAGGCATTAGCTATTCTTTGGTCTTCCTTATTCATTGTCCAGCTTTCACATGCATATGAAGCGATTGAAAATAGCATGGCTTGGGTGAGGTGGACCTTAGTCTTCAAAGTGACTCTTTGCTCTTTAACACTAGTCTTTTGCAGCAGATTTGCCAAGTACAATACTACATCTGATTTATTGGCTTCTGCTTCCATTGGTGTTGATTGTGGATCTAAGTAAAATGAAATCTTTGACAACTTCAGTCATTTCTCCATTTATCATGGTGCTGCTTATTGGTCCAGTTATGAGGATTTTCATTTTCTTTATGTTGAGGTATAATCCATACTGCAGACTGTAGTCTTCAATCCTCACCAGTAAATGTTTCAAGTCATCTTCACTTTCAGCAAGCAAGGTTGTGTCATCTGCATATTGAACATTGTTAATGAGTATTCTTCCAGTCCTGATGCTGCATTCTTCACATATTCCAGCTTTTCGGATTACTTACTTAGCATACAGATTGAATAAGTATGGTGAAAGGATACAACTCTGATGCACATCCTGCCTGAGTTTAAGCCATGCAGTATCCCTTATTCTGTTCAAATGACAGCCTTCTAGTCTGTACAGGTTCCTCATGAGCACAATTAAGGGTTCTAGAATTCCCATTCTTCTCAGTGTTATCCATAGTTTGTTATGATCCACACAGTCGAGTGCCTTTGCATAGTCAATAAAACACAGGTAAACATTTTTCTGGTGTTCTTACCTTTCAGCCAAGATCCATCTGACATCAGCAATGTTGTTGTTGGTTGCCTTCAAGTCAGTTTTGACTCCTGGCAACCCCATGTGTGTCAGAGTAGAGCTGTACTCCGTAGAATTTTCAAGACTACTATGACCTTTTGGAAGTAGATTGCCAGGCCTGACTTCCAAGCCACTTCTGGGTGGGTTCAAACTGCTAACCTTTTGGTTCAGAGTCAAGTGCTTAACCATTTGCATCTCCCTTGGACTCCATTAATTGAACAAAGATGTATCAGAAAAAGGAGAAGCTGATAGTGGATTGATTGGGTTTGGATACAGAAACTCTTAGGGGACTTAGCGCAGGTCCTGTAGAAAAACGGGGAACTTTGAAGAGCCATTTTGGATCAAGGGATTTTAAAATATAATATAGTGTGGGAGTTCTGGTGGCATACTGCCTAAGGCATTTGACTGCTAACCAGAAGGCTGGCGGTTCAAACCCACCAGCCACTCCTTGGAAGGAATATTGGGCAATCTACTGCTATAGAGATACCACCTTACAAACCCAAGGAAGGGTAACTATGAGTCAGAAAAGGACTTAACGGCAGTGAGTTTGTTTGCTTTTTTTTAATAATATAGTGTAATATATAGTTCATTGGCCCTGGACTAGGAGGGGAGAGGGTGCAAAGGGACATGACAGAGCCTTTTCTAGGGTGGTAGGTTTATTCTATTTCTTGATTGGGCTAGTAGTTACACAGATTGATATATTTGTCAAAAGACATGAAACTGTTCTCTGCATTTTATTGTCTAAACTATGCCTCCAGTTGATTAGTTGTTTAAGTACCTAAAAATGAATTAAAAACTAAAAAAAAAAAACTTGGTGTAAAATGTTACATAAATTACTTTTAAAAGAAGTATCTGTTTGTTTTTATGTTGTCCTTGATCTCCCTTTAATATTAGCTTAAAAGCAAAACATGCTTTTAAAAGTTTTTTCTTTGCAGCTGGTTGATAGCTATCTTTGAACAATAAGTAACCTTGAAATTATAGTTTTAGTTATTTGGCCAAAAATAGTTTAAGCACTATATTTAAAATTGCTATCCTCATTTTGAGAATTAATAATTTTTAGATTGCTGGTTTAATTTTTAAAACTAGTTGAACAAAAATGTCTTTGTTTTGAATTTTCAGAAATGATTTTATACCCTGGAATATTGAAACTGAAGTCCTTCCTCTCGTCTCTTCTGTGTTTCCAAGAACTATATTTCCAACAAGTACTATATCTTTAGAAAATTTTGGTAAAGTTTGTGAATTATTTTTCAAGTTCTTGTTTATTATCATTATCTCCTTTCAATCTTGTAAAAAGTGAGTGTTGATGACTTAGAAAAAGATACAAAATAGGGTATAATAAGTCGTAGGTATTTCTGTAAATAATTGGATAGTGATTTGACTTGAAAACCTTTCCAACTAGAAAATCCCATTCACTTTGCATACAGCAGCTTGCATACACTTTGTCTCATGGCATTGACTGTAATTTACCACAGTGCAACAGCTTCCCTCCCAGTTCTTCCCCATAGTTTCCTCTTCCCTGTGTTCTTCCCTCCCATGCACTCCTGCTCCCCAGGCTGTCTCCCTGTTCATACACAGTCGTTCTGTTCTCCCATGACTGATCTCTCCAAGGAGTGTTTCAACCTCTAATATAAATGTTTAGCTCATATGCCTATCTTTTGTTTGACTGGAAGCCATGGGAGTGGGTTTGATTCCAGACTTGAAGAGCAGCTAGGAGCCATAGTCTCAGTGGTTCCATCAGGCTGTATCAGACCAGCAAACCTGGTCCCTTTTTTTTTTTTTTTTAAATAAATGGTTTTGTGTTTTGTTCCACATTGTTCTCCCACTCTTTCCAGCATCTCCTACATAGATCTCCCTCTGAGTGGTTGACAGTAGTAGCTTGGTACCATGTCTAAAAGGTGACATTCTATGTTAAATACTATGTTATGAATAAATAGCTGAGTCTTTATCTGTTCGTGGATAACTTGTTAGTTTTCTCTTGCCTTTACTTAGATAATATCAATGCATAAAGCAAATGATAATTGCAAGACCAAGCATATTTTCCTTTTTTCTCTGTAAAATTGTCCACATGGATATAAATCTGATGATTACTCATTTCAGTAGCATTGAAAGACACTGAAGCACCTCACATTACTCAAATGTTAGTAGCTATGCATTTATTTATAATTTGTTTGATTCACTCCAGCATATTTTGTTTCAATATATTACATTCTTCTGCTTTGCATTAGAATTAGCTGACGTCACACTATTTTCATTTATTGAAACCCTGCTTACTTTTATTTATTTATTTAAATATTATTAGGTACTTCTTGTAAGGGATATGCATTGGCACATACTCAAGAAGGAGAAGAGAAGAAGCAAACTTCTGGCACATCAAATACCAGAGGATCGAGGAGAAAACCTGCAGCCACAACTCCTACAAGAAGATCTACACGTAACACGAGATCTGAAACAGTTAGTCAGTCTCAGAGGCCCCCAGTATCAAATAATTCTGAATGTGATGCCCCAGATGGCAGTAATCCATCTGTAAGTGTTTCCTCTTCAGCTGAGTCAGAAAAACAATTGAGACAGCCTCCAAAACGGAAATCTGTAAGAAGAGGGAGAAAACCACCTATACTGAAAAAGAAATTACGGAGCTCTGTACCCCCCCCTGAAAAATCATCTTCCAGTGATTCAGTAGATGAAGAAACAGTAGAATCTGACACACCACCTGTGTTAGAGAAAGAGCACCAATCAAACATAGCAAGTAGTAACACTTGTACTGTGCAGACAGATGCAGAAAATAAGTCTGCTAATGGCTTGAGAAATTGGAGTGAACATACAGACACACATGAGGAACATACTGACAACCATGATATAGAGGAAACAGTAAAGGCTTCATATTCTGAGGCTTATACCCAAGATCTTCCTATGCTAGTTGGAGTGGAAGAAGAAATTCAAGAAGTTGAGAATACAGGTATAGAGGCTTTGTGTATAGAAAGTGACATTTCTAAAAATATTTCTGAAAAAGGAGGTGATCTGTTGGAAAATCAAGACCAAATAGCTGGACCTTTAGAATCAGAGGTAAAAACGGATACGTGCATGGATCATCCTCCAAATGATTTTCTTAAATGTTCAGGATCTGAAATTGAGTTACACCAACCTGTATCTAGTCCTGTAGGTGAATTATCAGAGAACACTGAGTCAGTGGTTAACGAAGAAAAAATTAAAGAGAGTCTTATAGTAGAAATTACTGATTCTAATAATAAAGATTCTACAGTAATAGATTCTAATAATAAAGATTCTATAGTAAAAACAGAGCAGCTTTTAGAGAGTTCCAAGTTAGACTCTTCTGAGGATGAAAATATACAAACAGTGGACAGAAAATCCACTGAGAGCTCAGAGGTTCAGTTGCTTCAGGATATTGAAACTAAAGATGCAGAAATAATTGCAGAGTGTGATAGTTCAGGGAAAGAAGATTTCAATAGTACAGAAGACTCTGAAAGTAATTTATCAAAGAATGATCTTGACAATACAAAATTAGACACATGTTTAGAAGAAAAGAGAGAATCTCTGGGTGAACATCTCATATCTACAGATTTGCCTAACACACACACTGAAAAGATTCAGAAGTATTTTAGTGAGGACAATAATGAAATGACACCTATGGACTGTGATTCATTTTGTAGTGACCAGAATGAATCTGAAGTTGAACCATCTGTAAATGCTGATTCAAAGCAAGTGAATGAAAATTCTGTGGAGCATAGTACTGAAAATAATATACTACCTTCTGATCCTGTAAACAAAAAGGATGAAACTGTGTCTCAACCACATGAAAGCCCAATAAATATAGTAGATAAAGCCAAAAAGCCTCGTACTCGAAGATCTAGGTTTCATTCCCCATCTACAACTTGGTCTCCCAACAAAGACACTGCACAAGGAAAGAAGCGATCTCAGTCTCCATCTCCTAACAAAGAAACTGGAAAAGAAAGCAGGAAGTCTCAATCACCATCTCCTAAGAAGGAATCCACAAGGGGACAGAGGAAATCTTGTTCTCAGTCCCCTAAAAAGAATGTTGCAAGAGAAAGGAGGCAATCTCAGTCTCATTCTCCAAAAAGAGATAATACTCGGGAAGGCAAAAGATCCGAATCACTCTCCCCAAGAAAAGAAACATCTAGAGAGAACAGAAGATCTCAGTCCAGAGTAAAAGATTCTTCTCCAGGAGAAAAATCCAGGTCCCGGAGCAGAGAAAGAGAATGTGATAGAGATGGGCAGAGGAGAGATCGAGATAGAGAAAGGAGAACCAGAAGGTGGTCTAGGTCCAGATCTCATTCTAGGTCACCATCAAGATCTAGAACAAAAAGCAAGAGTTCATTGTTTGGTAGAAATGATAGAGCCAATTACTCTCCTCGGTGGAAGGAAAGATGGACAAGTGATGGTTGGAGATGTCCACGAGGAAATGATCGCTACAGAAAGAGTGACCCAGAGAAACAAAATGAAAATACAAGGAAAGAGAAAAATGACATCAGTCTGGATACTGATGATCTCAATTCTGACAAACGTAGAAATGACTGTCCCAGTTGGGTCACAGAAAAAATAAATTCAGGGCCTGATCCAAGGACCAGAAATCCAGAAAAGTTAAAAGACACTCACTGGGAAGAAAATAGAAATGAAAATTCAGGGAATTCTTGGAATAAAAACTTGGGTTCAGGTTGGATGTCTAATCGTGGCAGAGGTAACCGTGGCAGAGGCACTTATAGAGGTGGTTTTGCCTACACAGATCAGAATGAAAATCGGTGGCAGAGTCGTAAACCCCTTTCAGGAAATTCAAATAGTTCAGGGAATGAGTCCTTCAAGTTTGTGGAACAGCAACCCTACAAACGGAAAAGTGAACAAGAATTTTCATTTGATACACCAGCAGATAGATCAGGGTGGACGTCTGCATCTAGTTGGGCTGTGAGAAAGACTCTCCCGGCAGATGTACAAAACTATTATTCACGAAGAGGGAGGAATTCTTCAGGTCCACAGTCCGGATGGATGAGACAAGAAGAGGAAACAGCTGAACAAGGTAACATTCTCTATTTATTGATGCTGTTTTATTTGAAGAGGGAGATTAGAAACGTAATGTCCTAATTGTATGAACTGAAATGATCCCTATTTATAGTTTCAATATTTTAAGTACTGTTTGCTACATAACAGAGTCTAGGATGTTCTTATACAGAATTTAACCTCTGTTGATTTATTTCATATATTGCACTTGCAAATATTTTTATCATTGTCCATATACAAATAAGTCACTCGTAACAAAGATTTATCTTTTCTTGATTTTCTTTTGCTAATAACATTGTTAGGAGCTCTGGTAGCATAGTGCCTAAGGCACTAGACTGCTAACCAGAAGGCTAGCAGTTCAAACCCATCAGCCACTCCTCGGAAGGAAGATGGGGCAATCTACTTCCGTAGTGATACTGCCTGGGAAATGCAAGGAGGGGTCGCTATGAGTCGGGTCCGACTCGACAGCACGTAATAACAACAACAACAATACATTGTTAAAGGAAAAAAAAACCTGTTGAAAATAAGTCTGTTAACTTGATTTCTAATTTAGTAATGTAATTAAGTTTTATATGATTATTTCTTTTAGTCAATAAGTAACTGATTCTTCGCTAATGTTGATGGATGTTATATGGAGCTATTGTTAAAAATAATTCTAGTTGAACATTTCCTTTTAGTTAGAAAATCAGCCCATATGATTTAGAAATTATAGGATTAAACTGGGAGCTTTGGTGGCATAGTGCCTATAGCATTTGACTGCTAACCAGAAGGCTGGTGTTCAAACCCATGAGCCACTCCTTGGAAGGAAGGTTGGGCAATTTACTTCTGTAGTGATACCGCCTCGGAAACCCAAGGAAGGGTCACTATGAGTCGGACCCAACTCGATGGCAGTGAGTTCTGAGTGGAGGATTAAACTGAATAGAGATTGGTTTTGGTGTACCAAGTCTGTTCAGCTATACTTAATTCCAGTGGTTCTTTGCTTCTTTATCTAAAGAAATTTTTTCATGATTTTTTTTTCACAAGCCTTTTTTTTTTTTTTCCTTTTAATAGATTCTAACCTGAAAGACCAAACAAACCAACAAGGTGATGGTTCTCAGCTACCTATAAATATGATTCAACCACAAGTGAATGTAATGCAGCAACAAATGAATGCACACCACCAGCCTATGAATATCTTCCCTTATCCAGTGGGTGTTCATGCTCCTTTGATGAACATCCAACGTAATCCATTTAACATTCATCCTCAGCTGCCCTTGCATCTCCATACAGGAGTGCCTATCATGCAGATACCGCCTCCTACCAGTGTATCTCAGGGACTGCCACCACCACCTCCCCCTCCCCCACCATCCCAACAAGTCAGCTACATTGCTTCACAACTAGATGGAAAGCAATTACAGGTATGTTTTTGGCAATTGAAGTTAAATCAACATTATGAAAATGTAGTGTTAGGCTTCCTGGCATTCAAAATGATTCTTTTGATTAGGTTTATGGTAAACCTTCATAACCCCTCTTTAATTGTCCTTTCCCATTCCTCATCCCTACTCTGCCTCCCCCCAATAAAGAAAGAAAATTAATTGAACACTTAGATGCTACGTATATGCTGTTTTTTAATATCTATATCCAGACAGGTTTTTGATCAGCTTAAGAATACAAAAGTTATTAATCAAACTAGAATCAAGTGGTGGGTGCTTTAAAGTTTTTCCCTATTTTATTGGACTTTTGGGGAGTGGGAACAAGTGATAAAGTATTGTGATAAAGCTTGTCTTGTTTGGACATATGCTAGGTAAGGCTGTTCACTTCCATTATTGTCTCTCTTTCATTTTCATGAATTTACCATCATAGATAGAGTGAGAAAGTATGTTAAAGGCATATAGAAAGTTTGAATATTTGCAGACATGGTACTGCTTATGTCTACAGTTCAGAAATTCTAGAACCCTGACAACAAGATGTAAGGGAAAGACCAGAAGAATGTGATTCCAGAATTTGGGCTCTTACATCTTTTTTGCTACTAACTTATTTCAGGCCACTTCACTGCCTCGTTTTCTCCCACCTTTAAAGTAGGGATATTTGTTGTAGTTAATATTTATAAGGAGCCTTACAGGACATAATACTATTCATTAGTTTAGTTTCTTCTCCTACTACTTCTTGTTTTCAGTGTTACTGTCAGAACTTTATAGTACACATATGTAATTTCATAGTCATTTTGACATATTTAAATAAGGCTTTAAGAATGTAACTAATTTTTTCTTTGAAAGGCCCTTTAGATGTAAATGACCTGAAATACAAATTATCTTAAGTACTAAGGTTGAATTGTTTGTATTTTTTAATGTTACTTCTAATACATGATTATAAGACTTCTTATATTAAGTACAAGTAGTTCATTAACTAATGATAACTCTTTAAAACAGGGTATTCCCAGTGCTTCTCATGTAAGTAATAACATGAGTACACCAGTCTTGCCTGCTCCAGCAGCAGCCCCAGGAAATGTGGGAACAGTTCAGGGACCAAGTTCTGGTAATACTTCATCATCAAGTCACAGCAAAGCCTCTAATGCTGCTGTAAATTTGGCAGAAAGCAAAGTAAGTGTTACAGTGGAAGCCAGCGCAGATAGCTCGAAGACAGACAAGGCAAGTTCAAAGTTGAGAGCAATCTATATAATTCTGTATGTAATAAAAACAAAGATTAAAAAATAGCAGCTTTCTGTTTTATGAGTGGTGAAGGGAACTTAACTATTGATAGTTTTAAACTACAATGATATATTTGAATGATTTCATCTAAATATGTTGATGACCAGTGAGCACCTGGTAGTTTTTGATAATTATTTTTAGAAATGTTTGAATTGTTTTTGTTACTATTTTGTGTTTGTCACATTAACATTTGAAGAGCTTCTTACAATAATGTAAAGGTGTAATGTTTTAAATTTCATATTTTTTAAGAATATGATTGGCAAATAATAATTATATATTTTTCTTTGATCAGAAATTACAAATTCAAGAAAAAGCAGCTCAAGAGGTAAAATTGGCCATTAAACCGTTTTACCAAAATAAAGATATCACCAAGGAAGAATATAAAGAGATTGTACGGAAAGCGGTAGATAAAGTAAGTTACAGCTTTAGGGACATTATGTACGTATTATTTTGAACCACTGCTATTTTAATAAAGGAATGCTTAAGTCTCACTAAAATAATAATAAAGGCTAGCTCTGGTGGCATAGTGCCTAAGGCATTTGACTGCTAACCAGAAGGCTGGTGATTCAAACCCACCAGACACTCCTCGAAAGGAAGGTTGGGTAGTCTACTTCCAGTGATAATCACCTCAGAAACCCAAGGAGGGGTCACTATGAGTCGGACCCGACTCGACAGCAGTGAGTTTGGTTTTGGTAGCTCCTACTAATTCTTGTCTGTTTTTTTACCATTTGAAAATGTTAATATGAAGTATGAAATCTAAACATGTAAAAAATAAGTGTGGTCATCTCTTTGCATTTATTTATTTTCACAAATCTTTCTATTTTGTTTTTTATTTCTCTAAGTATGAAAAAGTTTCACCCTCCTTCTTCTTTAGGTCTGTCATAGTAAGAGTGGAGAAGTAAATTCTACTAAAGTGGCAAATCTGGTCAAAGCCTATGTAGACAAATACAAATATTCACGGAAGGGGAGCCAGAAGAAAAACCTGGAGGAACCTGTGTCAACTGAAAAAAACATAGGCTGAAATGAGGACTGCTATAAAGGATACTCTCAAGATATCTGCAAAGTGCAATTTCCACATGTACCATTAACTGAAAATCATACACAACTGTGATTGAAATTTGGTTTTTATAAAATTATTTTTTTTTAATGTAGGATATAATGTTTTGTTCTAAATAAATATAGATCTGCACTGCAACTTCTATATCCTCCCCACTCCCACCCCACTCCTGATAATGCAAGGGAAAGTAAAGATTTAAAAGAATGTGCATTTTTACTATGACTGTGTTATAGTGTGGATACTGGAAGATGTATAGGTTTTTGATTTGATCAGTCAAGTGCATAAATTAGAAACTTCTAAGTGCACTGATTTTGGAAGATAGATATATATATATATATATAAAACATTTATTCTGTCAGGCTGAAAAATATAATCTTTATTATTTTCCCTCTAATTATAGAAAGTTAAATACTGTATTACCCTGAAAAATATTTCTTAATATTAACAGAACATACAAAGTTGCAGGGTTCCTAATGTGTATTTTTAAAGAAGCACACATCTGAGTAAATTTCTTAGATAGGAAACAATTACGTGAGTAAAATTTAGTGTTCAAAACTTTGGGACACTCTTCGCTTATTGTATCACCAAATAAAGGTTATGCTGCTTGTTTTTGTTTTGTGCCTTTTTCCCTTCCAGTGGAGATGAAGCAGTTTGATTTGCTAGATTATAATTTTACAAGTTTAAAATTTTTGTTGAATTTAAAAGGCAGGTTTGGAAAAACTGTTGACTTTGTAAAAATTATGTTCTTTTATAGTATCTTCTATCCATCAGAGATAATAAATCATGCCAACTGGAGAATTTCTTTTAAGTGGAGGCCCTCCCTTCCTTGGGACTAAGGTAGAAATGTGAGACACCCTTTACTGGTTTTCATGGTGTTCCTCGTCTATCTAATCATGAATGAAATTTTTTCATGCTTGAAAATTCCCCAAATGCTTTACAATGAATAAAATGTTGATTTGGTAACCATATGGCAGCCATTAACCATGTTGCAAAATTCTAGGCATTAAAGCCTGTGTTTTGGAAAAGAAGAGGAATTAAATAATGAAGTCTTGGTTAGGCTTTCAGGGACTAGGTATTTGGTTATTTTTTAAGTGCTTGGATATGCTAATTTTATGAAAAGTGTGTTTCACAGAGGTTTTAATTGGCGTCTTGAAAAAAAAAAAATGGGTTCTTTCATGACAAACTTTCATCCCAGTTTAACAATATTATATAGAAACCAGATAACTGGCAAGTTGTTCAGATGTTAATGGCGCAAAGGTAGATAGGCCTCAACAAGACAGTCTGAATTTTACTAGATAAACTGGTGAGAGCAATACTCTGTAGGACTGTGCTTTTCAGAAGTAAAGTTTAATCTGTTATCAATTTTATGTGTATAATACTTTCCTGGTGCTATCTTTGATAGGCAAGATATTTTGAAATGTTGGCCCCAGTAATAATTGTTTGTGTTCATAATCTTTGTTAGGTTATGAGTATATTACTTAAAAGTGTTAGAAACATTTCCAAACAGTTTGTGAGTGTCATTCTACTTTTCTGGGCAATTGTAATATTGTATTCTACTGATTTATATAATTTTTTTTATAAAGTTTGTGTTTAGATTATGATGGGTAAAGAAGTTTGGAAGTATATTTCTTCTAATAAAATATTAAAACAGTGTTTTAGATATTAAACCACACCACCTCAATTATTTCAGCTTTGAACTCGAAACAGTTGTGTGAACTTTAAATCTGTTTTGAGTCAAGGTTGATTCAAATTTGAAAAACTTGTAGCAGATTGCTCTGCCTAAACTGAGTAATTCCACAATGCTTGCTTCCCCTGTATTTTCTTTCATTGACATTGGGGACTTGGGTAACATTTTAGTATTTCCTTTATACTGTTTTTCTTTTGTAAGCAAGTTAAAATTTTTTGAAGAAAAACTAGATGGTGTGGTCAAGAATTAAAGTCTCACGTCTTTGTTAGCAATCCTAGGACTTATTTCTACATTTCTTGAAAATAACATGTGTTCCATATCTGGTTGGGATACTAGTAAGACTGCATTAAAAATAGCTAATAAAGAATGTTACTGGATTAGAATTCAAACAATAAGCTTTTTTAACCCTTTTAACAGTGCCCACCTACATTTTTTAACCCTTTTAACAGTGCCCACCTACATTTTTGCCTCTGGGGTTTAGTGGGAATCTGGTATCCCATTTTTAGTATGTGCTGCCATCTGATGGGTTCCTGTATAACTACATGAATCTGAAGAAATGGACCTCATTCCACCAACCCCAGCACCAGAGACCCTCTCCCCTTGGGACATATGTGTCCCACTAATTGTATAAAAATCCGTATTACTTCCAGAAATAATTTTTTCCCATTTCATTCAAAATGCCTCCCATTACTGAAAACACATGGTTTCAACAAAAAATTCAAAGCAGAAAAGAATTCAGTCTTGAAACATTTAAACTTTGAAATATTTAAGAATGTGTCTGAAAATGCATGTTTTATGTTAACAAAATACATTGCTTTAATGTTCCTCGTTCTTAGATACTTTATTTTCCAAAAAATTTGCATTAATCTTCCATTTGTACCAACTTACAAACATTGTGTGTGGTTACAGATCCCTCTTGTTATTTATGAAGAGTCAGTATTAATTTGACCTTTAAAACTTTGATCCCTTTCACCTACCAGACATACTGACTAGTGTTTTTGGCTATAGAAATGCCTAGAATTTGAGACTAAAAGTAGTTGCCCATTATTTTAACACCTCAAAAGTTTTGTGATTTCCCTCCCCTGTACCCCCGATAATTACCACATTATACTCCTTTAAATGGGCACAGTTTGTATTGCTTGAATGTTCCATCCAGAAGATGTCACTTCAGAAGCACAGTGGTGACCCCAGGGTCCATAAGACATTGTTTGTAGTATGAAGATGGAGTGCTGTCTACTGAAACTATTCAAATATGTAGTGTGTAATATTTTCTAATAAATTCTTTTGATAAGCAAAGTAGTGTCTCTAACATCTTATTAAGATTCCTTAGAAGTGGTGACTTTTACAAACATGTAGAAGTATTTCTTGCTTTTATACCAAAGTTAGTAGCATCATGTCTAAGCTTTAATTCTAATTACACAATAATTGCAGCAAATTGGAAAAACTAGTAATTATGAAATTTGTAGAGGGAAAAAGAAAAATCACCTATAATCCTACTATTCAGAGGTAATAACTTTGCACTGATCAATCTGTCTGTTTTGTAGCCTACACTTACTTGGTGATTTGTTGAGAATTTTCCATCTTAATAAAAATTATATGATTTCTAATGGCTATATATATATATATATATATTCTATTACACAAATGTACTATTTCTTAAAATAAATCTCTGTTGGATATTAAGTTGTTTCTATATTTTACTAATATAAATAAGACTGATATAAACATCTTTATCCCTGTGTCTTTGTACCCATTTCAGATTTTTTTTTTAATTGTGATTTGGGTACAATTTTGCAAAGCAGATTTGTTTTTCATTCAGAAGCTCTGGTGGCATAGTGCCTAAGGCATTTGACTTCTAACCAGAAGGCTGGTGGTTCAAATCCACCAGCCACTCCTCGGAAGGAGGATTGGGGTGATCTACTTTCGTAGAGATACCACCTCGGAAGCCCAAGGAAGGGTCACTATGAGTCAGATCCAACTCAATAGCAGTGAGTTTTGAGTTCATGCACTTTGTTTCACAATACTGACTATAAGCCCCATGATGTATGGTCAATCAGTTTTTTATTTCCCCATAAAATTGTTTTAATAGATACACACATACTTGATACATAATTTTTGAGATTCAGTCATTTAATGTAAAACAGAATTTTCCTAAGCTGATTTTTCTCTCCAGAGGAAACCACTAGAAAGGATGGTTATTGTGTATCTTTCCGAATTCTTCAAAGCATTTACAAAAATGTGTTTTTAAGGGTCCAGGAAAGTACTTTCACAGATATATTTTTCCCCAGCACATGAATTATACTCTGTAAACATCTGTAGCCCGGCCCGCTTTAATAATTGACAGTGTATTCCAGTGTCAGTTTATGTATAAGTGTGCCCTGTTCTTCATAATGGCTGCATTCTGTTCTTCTGTTCATGGACAGTTAATGTGCAGATGTTGGTATTAGAAACAATGCTTTAATCAGCACCCTTTGTGACTAAGACTTTGTGAACCTCTAGTTTTGTGTACGAGGTTTCATTGAATTTCATGATACACACATTTAAAATTTTGATAGATATTGCCAAATTGCTCTCTAAAAGGAGTATACTAATTTATATTCTTAACACAGTACCTGAGTTTATAGTTTACCTTTAATTCATTCTTTTAATTTTGACTAAGCATATGAGATTGATTTTCTTACTCATAAGGTGTCCTTTGTGGTGCAAATGGTTAATGCCCTCGTCTGCTAACCAGATAGGTGGAAGTTCAGGTTCGCCCAGAGACACCTCAGAAAAAGGTCTGCTGACCTACTCTGAAAAAAATCAGCCGTTGGAAACCCTAGGGAACATGGTTCCACTCTGACATACGTGGGGTTGCCATGAGTTGGAATCAACTCAGACACCTGGTACTGTTCATAAGGTTTTAATGAGCATTCATTCAGGTCATCAAACAGTGCACACTGTGTGTCAGGCATTCATAGATTCCTTGCATGTATTATCAGATTTAATCTACCACAACTTCTAAAAGAATAGTACAATCATTAGCACATTTATTATGCTTTAGTATATGTGAAGCACTCTGCAAAACTGTATCTCATTTAATGTATAAAACCAATTTTGTTGCCCTTGATCTGATGAAAAATTGAGCCTGAATGGGTTAACTGGATTGTCCAGATAACACAGCTACTTAATGATGGATCCAGGATTCAGACTTGGAATCAGTACATGCCAAAATCTGTACTTGGGTGTTGCATTGCTTCCAGATGTAAACTTACACAACAACAGGTGTGAGTAATTG